GCCTAAGTGCCCATCAGTAGATGAATGGATTAGAAAACTGTGGTACATCTACATGATGGAATACTATGCTGCTGTAAAAAAGAAGGTATTCTTACCATTTGCAACAGCATGAAAGGAACTGGAGAGCATTATGCTAAGTGAAATAAGCCAGTCAATGAAAGAAAAATACCACATAATCTCACTCATTTATCTATAATAAAGACCTTTATAAACTGATGAACAAAAATAGATACAGAGGCAGAGCAGCATCGAACAGACTGTCAAACTACAGTGGGAAGGCTGGGGAGGGGGGCTGGTAAGAGATCAACTGAAGGACTTGTATGCATGCATATAAGCATAACCAATGGGCACAAGACACTGGGGGGTAGGGGAGGCTAGGACAAGGTCAAGGGGGAAACAAAAAGGAGACATATGTAATACTCTTTCTTTGTAATACTTTAAGCAATAAAATAAAATTAAAAAAGAAAATCTCTATATCAATAATATATCTATATCTATAAATACATCTATAGTCAAACTATGCATATATCTGAATCCATATCTATATCTTATCAATATCTATCTAAATCCATGGGAGAAGAGGCACATTGATTTTATCCCTAAAGAGTCACTGGTTATTCCCACATCCTACTTCCTGACTGTTGGGGTCCAGCCCCAGCAGGTCCAGGGGTTCCCAAAGGTGTGGACGGAGTCGGTGAAGAAGGAAGGACACAGAGACAGCGTTCAGATCATCAACATAGTTGGGTTCTCTCTTTTTCTCTCCCCTATTGTCCTGTTACAACTGCATTTATAAGCATGACATAATGGTATGTTTTGGGTCCTCCCTTGGCCTTCCTGGTTTCTTATCTGACCTTTGCCAAAAATCCTGTCTCTATCTAGTTCTGTTGATTTTAATCTTGTCTAGGTTAATCTCTGCGTTCCATTATAAGGGCTATTCCAAGGTCACTATTCTACTGCTCTACTGATTAGCTACAAGGAAGTAACTGAAGGAGATTATCCTACCCATTAAAGGTTATGTCCTCCCAGCCCTGCTGCTTGCCTTCCCTGGGACTGCCCTGTGTTGGTGGGTCTCCAGGGGTATAGGCTTTGGTGCTTTCCCTGGTGGGCAGACCCCTGGGGATGTGGGCCCAACAAGTCCCAAATTTATTGCCAACAGTCTTAGTCCAAGTTCTTCATAAGTACATGGTATTTCTGTAACACTAGGGGG